TGACACTATCGGACCGAAGAAACCGCCCTTATCAACGGGCAACATGAATCCGGAAGCAGGGCGACATGCACAAAGGACCAAAAATATGGCGGTGTATCTTTCCATGTTCTGGCGGAAGATTCATTCATACGTTGGGTGGTGGAGAGCGAAGGGCCGATGAATCAGGTAAGCATGTAACGTATCTCTGGAACCTTTCTTTTTTTTTTTTTGGAGAATCTCTGAACAAATGGGACTGAATCCTCCGCTTGAACATGGAAAGATACATTGCCATATGTGTCTTGTTGTGCATGTCGAGAGTAGTGCAGCGAGCCCGTTGGTGAACATCACCGTTGAGGTTCTGACAGGTTGGACGCGCCGGGCTTCACTCGTGCAAAGAAATTCGGATGTTCTTCCTTTACGTTTTGTGAGGATTGGGGCCTTGCCATGATGTACATGTTCTGGGCTAAGGCCCCAGCAAGCCTAGTGCCCGCCCTAAGTGAAGGCGGGCCAGCAAATCAACAAGAGCCCTCTGTGCCAACATTTCACGAAGTGGGGTCTATACAGTTGCAGCACGCCAGTTGGTTGGAGTGCACCGAGTCTCGGATTTCAGCAAATGCTGAAATGCCCAGGGCCTCTGAGTTAGTTAGGCCCTGGGCACTCGAACRTGAGGCCGACAATGCATGCTGGGTAGAGAGGCCGAAAATGCCAAAGGGAAATYGGCCCACTGTCTGAATCTGGCCGCAGGCCTTGATGAAGGAGGCGCAAYTGCATTGCCCSGGGGCCCAACTGTATCGAGTTGGCTTCAGCCTCYGGGCCCCGGTCACAGGSTGAAGGGAGGCCGCCCACACGCTGCACTGGCATATAGGCAAGCAGGGCGAGGCAGCAGGGATCTTGGCCATTGCGGGCAATGCCGGCACGCTGCGCAAATGCGAGCTGCTGGCTGCTGCGCTGCRYTWAGAGGTAGTGCAAGGCAGGCATGCGCTAGGCRGTAGGGCGCTGCCTGTGCACTGGGCGCTTGGCGGCCATAGCCGGGCTGCAGAGGGCGCAGAGGGGTGAAGGGCGAAGGTGGTACTTCGGAGGTGAAGGGCGCTGTGTGGGTAACAAGGGAGAGTGTGGGGAGGAGGACACGTACCTGGTGATGGTGGAGGTCTGCATTGGTGTTGACATCATCACTCGCTGGTAGTCAAGTTGTCTAGTTTCTGTTCATTGCTGTAGTTGTAGGATAGGGTGTAGAGTAGATAGGGCGCCTGGCGCCATTCACAAGAGAGAGCTACATTTGGGTTATGCTGTTGGTGTTACCCTGTTGGGCATGGACATTGACTCACGATTCTTCTGTATCATTCTCAATGGGATGGTTACTCGGTTCCATGTGCTATCTGCTTTGGCTTTGCATTCTGGATTTCTGTGCTTCGTCCATACTCATGTTCCTTGCAATTTGGTATCGGAGCTGGTTTGATCGCCACTTACCTTTGGCACGCTGGCGTTGTACAGACTTGGTGCGTTGATGATGCTTCTTCGCAGTGGGCACTTGTGACGTCAGGCCACTATAGGTGCACGCCCTGGGTAGAGAGGGGTGCACCGGAAGGCTATTACGGCATTGTTTGCCATGGGTTACAGCGGAATGTTTGATTGATGATGAGAGCATGCTGATGTGACATTGGACTAAGGTGGCACTGCATTGCGTTGTGGGTGGTACCGATGTCATGACCGGTCATCAAATGCAACATCAGCTCAATTGGTGAGAAATCTGTGGTTGGGGGCAGCTATCTCCAGGTACGTTGTTCCCTTACCTTATCTACTCTCTCAATCTCTTCTTACCGTGAGGAAGTGAGTCCAACTTGAGAGTCCTCTCTTTTGGCGAGGTGTCGTGAGCGCGCTACCTTGAGAGACGACAATCTTCCCGGAAGCATACTGGAAGGACAAAGGGCGGTGCCTCTGAAGGGCCCTGGTCGAAGCACTGGGTCACGGTCACCATGCCAACCCAATGGGAGTAGGTCACGCATGCAATGGTTGCTGTCCAGTAAGGCACTTCGCTGCGCCAAATAGAAGTTGCTCCGGGTGTGCCAGCCCATGACAGACGCTTACCAGACCGTCTATAAATATTTCTGGTTGGGAGTTCATTGTGAATCTTGCTGTGATCGTCGTCCTGACTGCGACGTTAAATAATTCCTGAAGAGATGGGGGCGCTCTATAAATTCCTCCTGATCAGCCAGATCACATGGACTGGAAGGCTCGTCGCCGTACGAGGGTAAATAAGAGTGGTTGGGCTGGCTTGCTCGGTGACAACTTGGGCACAGGGGTGGGCCGATTCACACACGAAGACACTGCTCGCTCAATGATGCTGCTCGGTATGTTGGATGGAGGGGAGGGTAGGTTCTAATTGGTGCTCAACTGTATACACAACCATACCCATCAATCATACATCTGCTACATTGTCTTTTTGTACCTTTGATTAGTTGGTTGACGGACTGCTAACCTCACAGACCGAATTAGTGTAGGACTGTAGTATGCTACCATAGACAGTTCTAACTAATGCTGCTGTAAGTGAACCATTCAGGGTGCATCTAGACTATGTAGACAATCTGTGTGAATGTTGTAGACATGCCACTTGATTCGGTATAGTAGGATACTCGCCGGACACAACTATTGATAGAAAATTAGGTGCCGGTCAGATACATCCTGTGGTAGGATTCCACTAGGGGATTCTAGTGCAGAAACTCGCTGACAATAGGAGACTTACACGTTCGGAAGCATTAAGGGTTCCGCACGTGTTCAGGACCTTGGATGAGGGAGAAGAAAGACGGCTTCGTGCCGAATGTAGAGCCCGTGCTCTAGCAGCAGGACTACAGGAAGCAAACAGAGTAGCAGGAGAGCGGGCAACAGCAGCTAGAGCAACAACAATGGCTAACGGTACCAGCTCTGCCGCGTCATCGTCTGCGTCCTCGTCAGGGACTAGTGGGACTCATTTGGGAATGCCACTGAGTTCCACAAGTTCCTCGGGCACTTCCGGTTCAACAGGGTCTAGACAGTCTTCTAGTCAAATGGCGGGCTCGCAGTTCAGCCCATTGACCCCGCGTGAGAGGGAGCTCAGAGAGATCCAACAGGTCGAGAGGCTCCGCCAGCACTTAGAGGAGGATCTGAAGAAAGCAACCAATAGAGAAAAAGAGATAAAAAGTAGAGCGGCCAGACTTGATACGTTAGAGGCTGACAAGGCTGCGTTAGAGGGATTGGACGAATCGAGTTTGTCTGACACCTTGAAAGTGTTGAGGGACAACATGTTGTCTCTGCATGCGCACGTAGACAGCAGGATGGACTTCATGCAAAGCACTTTGGACCAGATTCTGGATGCACTGACAAAGCCAGGATTCCGGCCACCAGCACAATCGCCGTTGCCGTTAATGGCGATGTCAGGTCCCTTTGCCGTACAAGCTGGCACACAGCCGAGTGGCACATCTGCAGCAGCAGCACAGACTGTTGCATCTTCTTCTTCGGGTCCAGTGGTGATTGCTGCATCACCACAACAACCTGTTCAGCCAACTGGACAGCCGCAAGGTCAATGGTATCCCAAGACCCCAATGAAACCGCCTCTTGCCTTCTCAGGCGAGAGAAAGGACGAGGAACTCAACACTTGGTTGAGGATAGTCCCGGTTTGGGTGAAGGCCAAAAGGACCTTGCCTGAGGACGAAGTGGTAACTGCGGCGTCTTACCTTGAGGGTAAGGCAGCCAAGTGGTTAGATGGTGTAGTTGTGAAGGCCGGGTACGGGAGACGCATGGCAGATTGGGCTAAGTCTTTGACTTTAGACCAATTCATGGAGATGGTAGAAGCTCGATGGCATAACCCACAGGAGGCTCAAAGGGCCACTGATGCCATTAACAAACTGGACCAACGCAAGTTCAGGTTAGTTAGGGAGCTTACGACTACCGTTGAGAGCCTGATCCTCGTCCCAGGTATCAACTACAGCGACTAGTTCCTGTTGACTACATTTGTCAGATGTCTCCCAGAGAACATGAGGAACTTACTAGCCAGTGAGGCACGCACCGAGTACCACTCGTTTGAGACATTGTCTAGGAAAGCCTTAGACTTAGAGGCCACGCTAGGCAATGCTCAACCCACCTCAG